CTGTTGGTAGCTGTGGAGTTGCAATTTCGGGTTAGATTGGGATAGCAGTTGCTTAAGGTGAAGCCACTGTATTGAGTACAAAACAACAGGAAACCCAATTTAAAAACCCACAGGAGAGTGAATCATAGCAGCTCATGATCACATTTCAGCATAGGAGTTGAGGGAGGAAGAGTTTCACAAGTTTAAAGCCAATCTGGTCTGATTAGTGAGTTGTAGGTCAGCCAAGGCTACATAGTGAAATACTGTCTCCAACAGCCACACAAAACCAACCAACCAACCAACCAGCAAGCCCCAAACACAAGAAGCAAGGGATACATCATTCAAGGAAGTGTATGGTTGGCAAGCAGATGCTGAACATCATCAGGGATGAAGGGAATGTAAACTAAAGCCATCCAAGGGTACAGTGCACACATACTGGGATTGCTAAAGCTTAAAAGACCAAACATACTATATGGCCTGAGAGCTGGGTAGTGGTTACTTCATGCATCAAAATGAGTTCCAACATATTATGACCTCAGAAACAAACCCTAATGCCTCTCAGTTGTCTCTTGAGCCTCCTGTTCCCTAACAATGAGCTGTCTGTCTCTAGATTCAGACATATAAGTGGAGTCATACCATGAACGCTCTTTTGAGATTTTCCCTTTTCACACAGCACGATGTTTGAAAGATCCATTCATGTTCTATGTATCAGTACTTACCCTCTTTATGGAAAAATAAATAGTCTACTGTATGGATACATCATATATTATCTGTTCATCAGTTGATAGGGTTACTTCCACTGTTTGGCTATAGTGTTGAACCCTGTGAATGTCACTGCACCCACTGCTGTGTGGATGTGTTTTCATTTCTCTTGGGTATCTACCTACCCAGGAGAGACATTTCTAGGTCATAGCTTAATTGTGTTTAACTGTCAAGCTGCCTTTCACCATGGCTGCAACAACAGCCCAAAGAACAGTCTATGAAGCATGTGGGTCTCTCTACACAGCCCTGGCTGTTCTGGAACTCACTATGTAGACCAGGTTGGCCTTGAAATCACTGCTTCTGTTTCCTGAATGCTGGGATAAAAGGTCTCCACCACCATGCCCAACTGCCTTTGACTTATTATAGCTGTCCTAAAGGATGTGAACTGTTACCTAGTTGCTATTCCTCTTTGTATTTCCATTTGCTTACATGTTTATAAGTCTTACCACCCTTGTTGAAATAAATTGACAGCTGACAGGGATCTGTTTTTGGATCTTAACTTGATCCCATTATTAATGGATCTATCTTGTATCTGTGCTACTCTGGCTCCTACTGCTTTGTGGTCAAGTTTGAAACCCAGAGTGTGAGTCTTAGAACTTGTGGCTGTTTTGAGTCCCTGAATTTCCACAGGAATTGGGGAGTTAAGTATCAGTTTTTACCAACAGGTGAGTTGAGTTACTGCAAGGGACTGTACTAACTCTATAAATCAGTGTGGAGAGTTTGCCACCTCATGCTTCATGCTTTCCAATTTGTACACATGAATAGTTTTATATTTGTATTCAAAAATTGGAGTGGGGATGGGATTTATCTTATTATGCTTACCTGGCAAACCCTCTGCAAGATCCAGGGTTCAAGTCCCAGTATCTCATTAAAATTTGTTTCCAGAAATATTTTTGCACGTCTTTAAAACCATTCTCCTAAGTTCTTTATCCATTTTGCTGTGAATATAAACAAAAGTGTTTTCTAAATTTTATTTTCATGTCATCCATGGAAAACATGTACAAATACAATTGATTTCTGACTATTAATCATGTATCCTATACATCCTTGCTGAGCATGTTTGTTAGTTTTTTTCTCATTTATTAGTTTTTCATATCCTTAAGATATCCTCTATTAAGTTCATGTCATCTTTTAATAAAAATTCTTTTAAGTCTTCCTAATTTACATACATTAGAATGTTTTATTAGAATGTTTTATTGACCGTCTTAACAGAACACTGCATGAGTCCAGGGTCTCTTGCTTTACTCTAAATGGAATGTAGTGATGGTTTCTAACTCGACCTCTTGCTTTCTTTTCCTTTTTTGACAGTGTGTCACTATGTAGCCCTGTGTATCTTGGAACTGGTTACATAGCCCAGGCTGTTTCCTATTCTATCTTCTTGTATTTGTTTTGTGTCTTTCTCATTGTATCTATATTGTTTCTTATTATCTGTTTTGTGTTTTCTTAATCTTTCTTATACTGTGGTCAAAGTGCTCACATTAGATTTTTAAAAAGAAAGTGGAGAGCTACAGAAACAACCTAGATAACTTAAAGGATAGGAATAAACTATAGAAGGTATAAGTTCTGTCTTTGTGTCTCTTAACTCTAGATTCAAAATTAACAGTGTCAACTCACCAATCTCAGATCAGGTGATCTCTTGAGGGCTCTAAGGGGATGGAATGAAGAGTCTGCCTAGTGCTTTATCTTCAGAAATCTTTTGGAAGAGACAATTTACTTTCTACCAAGGTGTAATTTTCACTTGAAAATCTCTCCAAATAATCAAGGGTCCCACTCAGTCCTGCATGAGTAACAACGTCAAGCATTCAGCATGTATCTTTTCTAAAATAAAAATCTGAAGTCACTTCTATGCTTACTAAGCCTTTGGGTTCTTCACTGCACTCAGGATCAAACACCAAACTCTGTCATAGCAGTCTTGATTGTTCATAGTCTTAGTCCTTGGTTCCATCTCCATCCAATGTGACTCAGCATTTATAGACTATGTAAATATGTATTGGTCACTCAAACTTTTGAGTGTTGCAATGTTGCTAGAATTCCTTTAAAGGGGGAGATACTAGCAACATCTACCTCTTCTTCCTAAGGTCCAGAGACAAACTGAGGCACTACTCTACCAAAATTCACTCTGGAAACCAATGAGCTTGTTGGGGTTCCCTAGTCCACAGGTGAAGCACTTACTAGAGTGTAGGTGCTTCTGTCCTAGAGGACACATTGAGGTGCAATTAAGGCAGAGGTACATGGAAACATGGGTGTGAGTGGCTGGACACTCAGGGAGGAGACTCACTGCCCCTCTGTGAGGGGATGCAAACAGTCAATGAGCACAGTTGGGACGATCTTTTGCAAACAGACACAGTTGAATATCCCAAGATGGCAGTTGTTTGGCTCAGAGGATAGTCCTATACATGTATGTACGATGTGTGCCAGAAGACAAAGACACACTCTTACGCCTAGTTCATGTGTATTATTACTGTGACAACCTCTCAACTGCCCAGTCAATCTGCAACGATGGCTGGCGTGCCTACTGGCATACTTCCTGCCTGTTGGTATCTGAAGTCATATATAGCACTAGTCTCCCTTTTAATTTTAAGTTTTAAATTTGGACAAGAAATTATACATAATCCTTTTATCCCTCCCCCCATCCATACCCCCCTCTCAACCAAGGAGCAAGAAGGCATTGGCTTAGAGTCACAGAGGAAAGGAATTCGTTTTTGAGTGCTCTTGCACAGCACCCATCCACGTGATACCTTACAACCCTGACAAGGTTTTGCCTACTGTGGCCTAAGTAAGGTCCCCATTCTGAAAAGACTTGATGCCTCCAGAACAGAACGTGATCAAAACACAACTTAGTGCAGGCCTTATGTCACAGCCCCTCACTTTTCCTTCACCGCACTCTTCTCTAGGTTCTACCACCAAGGGTGGGGCCACCCTGGAGGCTTCTGGCTCCTCACCCACCTACCAGAACAGCCCAGCATCAAATCAGCCACTGGTGAACTAGCGCTGTAGGGCCACTCATCCTCAGCCAAAGGCTGGGCAGGGCATCTGAATCCTGCAGCCCACTGTGGGTGGGGCAGGAGAGGTACACATTTAAGGCTCCCGGAAACCTGGATGTTTGAAGTCTCAGGACAGACTCTGAGGTGTTCCAGTTCAAACAAGCAGTGTCTTAATAGACCTGGTTTCCCTGGAGGGCGCATTCACGTGGGCTGAACACAGCCCTTCAGTGTCTATTTCCCCGTGCTTCAACCCACCTGGTTTCCTCAACTCAATCAAGTAGCTATCCTCTTCTGGTCATAGGTCCCCCGCGGGAATCTGCAGCGCGTGGCACCCCTCACTGTTTAGTCTATATGGGGTGCATGCACAAGAACCCCACAATTTCGCCCCATCCTTCGCGATGATGTAGGAACTACCCAGTCCCATGCGTCGTTGAGTCGCACCCACTTGTCACCAGCTTTGCGCTTTCGCCTTAGCCCCACACCCCGCAGCCAGGGTTGAGCATGCAGGCCTCCAGCCCCTGGGTCATCGGGTCAGTCTCCGAGGATCTAATGACGTGGGCTGACCTCTCCGGTGATACCGTGGGCAACTCTGGAGCAAACCCACAACGACCTAAATTCTCCAGCAGGCACCCGAGTTTTTCTCCTGTCTCCTGCAACCGGTGGTTGGGTCGTCCACGGAACCAACTACTACAGCCTCTTCCTCTCCAAAAGCGGTCCCCAGCCCGGCTGCACAGCAGCGACGGCTTCCCGAAGCTGGCTTAGTGTCCTTTCTGATGGAAAGCCCCGCAGACCAGCCATTCTTTCCTTGTGGGGCAAGCTCTGCCCTAGTGGATTACCCATTACCCCCTTTAAGGGGGTTCCGCTGTGTGGGGCGTGTCACCAGGGCAACTTTCCTCGAGATGCAGCCCCTGTTCTCTGTCCCTGCCCCACCCCTTAGCAGCTCCAGGTGCCGGCTCTGCGCAGCGCGTGGCAGCCCGGGGTTGGGACCTCCGCGCCTAGGCTTTTACGCGGACTCCAGCATGTGCTGCAGCGGGGGAAGGTAGGCAGCAACCAGGCTTGGGACACCTTAGTGGCACGGAAGAAAGTTACAGGAGGGAAGGTGGCTGACTCTAGAGAGTATCAGCGTGCCTGCTGGCCAGGATTGTGGTTTGCCCACGGCGTTCGGTCGCTTAGCCGGGACCGGGACGCTCCCTGCACCCCCGTCCCGGGGCAGCCAATGGTCGCGTCCAGGCGGGAGGCCATGTTGCTGGAATAAAGCGGGCGGGGCGGCGCGGGCGAGCAGATGCGGCTGGAGGCGCGCGGGAGCCGGGCGCGAGCAGGGCGCAGCCGCGAGAGAGGCGCGGGGGAGGCCATCGGGAATCTGGGCGCCAGCAGCAGCTTGTGTCGGCCAAGAGCAGCCGGGAGCAAACGGAGCCGCAGTCGCGATGGCCGTGGCTGTGGGGAGACCGAGTGTAAGTGCCGGGGCCTCGCTTCCCCAGCGCGCTGATCCTGGGGCTCCGGTGGGCTCCGCTTTGGGGCGCGTGCGGGTGGAGACTTGCGGGGACAAGGAGGGGGCTCTGGGTAGTGGCTGGTGGGGCTGTGGGTGTGTGCATGCGTTTGGGCGCGCGTCTGGGGCGGAGGGGAGCTTGGGGAGTCGGCAGGCTCAGAGCCTACCTGATGCAACAGTGGATCTCCTAGGCGCGCCCCTATTTCGGGGATGCGGGAGAAAAAGGACCCTTCCGCGAGGCTGCCTTTAAAGGGGTAGATTGAGCCGCTGCTTTCCCCAGATACCTCCCTCTCCCCGCGCACACCGCTCGGCTGCTGACAGTGGAGGAAGGCGCCGGCTGTGGAGGGTTTCTCCCGCGCCCCGGGGGCGATCGGGGCATGGGAATTGGGAACCGAAGCGCTGTGTCACACGGCTGTAGAAGCGGGTCCAAGGGGTGGGATTTCCGTGGTGGCTTACACCCGGTGTATTGTGAAATTCCGGACACCCTCAGGCGCCCACCCGGGTGACCCGGCCCTGCCCAGGATGTGGACAAAGCCCTAGACACACACACACACACACACACACACACACACACACACACACACACACACACACACACACACACACACACACACAAGTTTTCAAAGGGCTCTCTTTCGGGGTGGGTGGAAGTCCTGAAATACTCTGCGGCTGGCAGGCCGGGGGCGGAGGTATTGAATGCGGGGCTCGAGGAAGAGGAAGGGAGGGTGGGTGTCTGGTGGAGGAGTGCCCTAGCACCCGAAAGCTGGGAGCGGATGCTCCTATCCCGACTCTGGGCCGGGGTACACGCCACCGACTGCGCCTCTTGGAGTATAGCACTCTGGGTTTGTAACTCCGGAGCCAGCCAGAGCTCGTGGGACTTTTGAGGATGTAGTTCAGGGTCTGCTCCCCAGCCTGGGGTGTAAAGGAGGGAAGGGGCCGTGGCGGTAGCCCTTCCTTTTTATTGAAAGGAGCCAAGCCCAGTGGGAAAGGCGGGGTCCTCTTTTCTCTTTCTCATTCTCTTTGTCGACGATCATAGCCCACTTTTGTCTGGTCTGCCATTGGGGCGCTTCCTGTGAAGTCCTTCTCTGGCTAGTACCCCATCTTCTTTTGCGTTCCTTTGGAACTTTGCTGCTAGCTGCGGGTGGTGGCCTGACATTTTGTAGATATAGAGAAAAGTCTTAGGTACATGCTGAAAGCTACGAAACCCCCGGATGCTCAGACTCTTGGCTCTACCCCATTGCGCTCTCTTCTCCAGACATAAACCTGCACCCATGAGGAGTCTCCAGCCCAGCAGGAAGTTCATGGGGTCAACCTTTGCAGCACCTACCTCGATTTGGTGGTTCGGCTACTTTTGTTATTGTTGTTTGAGATGCTTTTCCACGATGATAAAATGTGCGCTGGTCATCGATAAGTGTTCCTGTGAGTTTTTTAGGCCTTCCAAACTCTGTTACATGACATTGTCTCAAGAATTTTGTCTTCCTCTTCACACAAATTATGCTCTTGTTAATTGGTCCTAGGCCATCATTACTGAGGGGATTTGCATAGTCTCTGGGCTCATCTCTTTAGAAACCAAGGTTAAATCTGGCCCTCCGCACACTTATTTTCAGGGCACAGATTCAAAGAACTAAAATAACAATGTATGTTTTAGATGCATTGGCAAGCGTCTGGGAATGCAAGTATCCTGTGTAGGGGGGGGGGTGTCTTTTTCAGCAACACTTATTGCTGGTGCATTCTTGAGGGTTGGGGGAAGGTGGACGAAATAATCTGCTGCACATTTCCAATAAATTAGTAGGTTCATATCTGCCAGTTAAATCGGAACAACATGTGGGCTTAAGATTTAGTTGTGTGGCTGTGATCATATCCAAGATAGGGTCTGCCAGCCATATGTGAGCTTAATCCTACAGAGTTCTTATGGAAGATCTTTTCATTCAGCTAATAGGAGAGATTTTTAAAGTATGGCTATACAGAAAAGAGTGCTTCTCTATGCATATTCTGTCATTGGAATTAAGATCAAATTACTTAAAACTTAAGAACAAGACACCTCACCCCACCCCGCCTATAGTTGTAAATGAGATGATCAGGGCTGAGCTACAAAGTTGAATAAGGCTTCTGAGGTTATGTGATCACATTTACATAGGGCGGTCTGACTGCTTCCTCTGGGATCTTTTAAGAGTGGCCTCTGAAACTTCTCATTCTCAGAGCAGCTCTAGTGAGTGCAGAAGATTCTCCGAACTCAGCCCTGGACAAGTCTGTGCTGCATCTATAATGTTGAAATTGATTCCAGCCTCCCCTGTCCCTTTATCTGTGCTGGTCTTTAGACAAAAGAAAGGGGGAGAGTCACTCCAAAGTGGACGTACTCATGAATGGCCTTAGTTCTTTTAGAATTCATTAAAAATTTTAAAAAGAGTTGTCAAGGAAAACATAAATCTTTCTCCTGTCTGAACAAACCTGTCCAGAGAGAAGACCTACTTTAGCTGCTCTTGGTTTTAGACATTCTAGAGTGACATATGCAATGGATAACAATTGTGTTTTAACGGACGGACACGTGTATGATAAGTGTCTGGGTCTGTGGTGCTTTTACATTCTGAGTATTAACTGCATGTTCTTGTGTTTACTTCAGTCAGCCACTGAGCTACCTGCTCCATCCCTCAAACGCTGTGTTTCTATATTGTGAAATGTATATATTCAATTACAACTGCTTAAATCTCAAGGCTAAATTCACACGTTTCTTAGGTAGGATATGTTGTTGGTGACCAAGCAAAACCTAAAGTTTAATGTGATGCCATTTATCCCATTTTTAATCTGTGTTCATAGCTTGTCCATTTCCTCACCGACCTTGGCTCTGAGAGGGCCTGAAGCACAGGTGCTATTTTCAGACTGCACCTACTTTAGCAAGGGGGCTTCTCTCCTATGGACATATTTCCAGCTTGAATGGTTTAGTATTTTTGCATCACATCCCAAAGTATCAATTTATCCTGAACAATGTGTGGCAATTACTGCCTGGGAACCGGGCCTTTTGTAGATGGGTGTTCTCTCTTAGGGATGGTATCTAGGTTATAGTGTCTAGGAACTGGAAGGAACTTTAGGAGTGAGGTGGTTTAGTTACTTCCCTAGTGTAGAAACATTGCTTCCTTTTTTCTCTCCTAGCTAAAGGTCTGTTTCAACTTTTCCAGTGGAAATGCCATATGATGTCCTTCAAGACATTTGTTTGTCTTTTCGTCCATTGGGAAATAGAAGAGCAAATTACAAAACCAAGGGAACATTGGTTATTTAATACCACTTTTGAGTGCCTGCTTCATGCCAGTCTCTGTCCCTGGAGTTAGGAACATAGCTGTGGACCATAAACTCCCTTCTGACTTGAAGCAGTTATTTATGTGTGTAATCATTTTTAAAAGGTTTAAAACCGCTATGTGTTAATAAAGTGACTTGGAAACTGGGGAGAAAGGAAGTATGTGCCTGTTGCTGAGGACAGGTAGGAATCAGGTAGCAGGCTTTTCTGAATCTCTTAAGATAGTTTTAAAGATACGCAAGTGTTGTGTTCTTTTATTCTAAGTTGACATTTCTGCAGTTTGAAAATGTGAGGGCAGAAGGAAGGATCTAGATTGATGCGTGTGGTGAAGGATTAATGGAGCTGAAAAATGCTCAGGGAAGAGCTATCTATACAATATATGGACTTTGTGGCTGGGGTGTTTTCTAGAAAAATTGTAACTCTTTAGTCACTGATATGAACTGTGTACATTGAAGACTTTGAGTTGCAAGTACAGCTTAAAGTGCAATAGTGCTTCTTTTAAAACTGTTTGAAAACCAATTAATTTCTTAAAAAAATCTTTTCTCCTGTCTCTGAAAAGTCTTCAGTTCCTTTTCTAGAGCTGAGTGTTCACTCACTGTCCATACACTGCTAGTTCCAGCTGCAGTGGGAACTCCAGGCTTCTTGGGGTTTGTGTGACAACACCTGAGACCTGGTCCTATCAGACTTAGCCAGAGTTAAAAACATTTGAATTGTTAGTTTATGGTGTTTGCAGCATGAGCATGCAGAATCCAGCATGTCATCCCTGGATGTGGAATTGAACCAGGGTCCTGTTAGACTGAATCACCTCCCCAACCCCAAGGATCAACTTTTAATCCTAATGTTGAAAATAATTTTTAATCCTAATGTTCCCTTGGGAATTTTGGGTTGGCACATTAAAGATCAATAAAGTCTTTAAAAAAAATAATCTTTTAAATGACCTTTAGCAATGTGTCCATACTAAAAGAAGTGGGACTCAGGAAACCAGAGAAGGGAACACACACACCCCTGTCAGCTTTCCATCAACTTCTGCAGATTTACTTCCCCAAGTAACCCATGTTGCTTAAACTGCTAATTAGAAACCAGAGTGCCAGCCGGTTGTTAGTGGTACATGCCTTTAATCCCCGCACTCGGGAGGCAGAGGAAGGTGGATCTCTTGTGAGCTCCAGGCCAGCCTGGTCTACTGAGCTAGTTCCAAGACAGGCTCCAAAACAATACAGAGAAACCCTGTCTTGAAAAACAGCAACAACAAAAAAGAGAAAAGAAAAACCAGTGTGCCTGGTTGGCCCTGCCTGATCATCTAAACACTTTTATATTGGATACTTAGTGTTGGGCATGGGCTACCATGTGTCTGTTGGGATAAAGGGATGAATAATGTCGGGGCTCCACGTTGCCAGGATTTGGAGGGCTGGCTTTGATTGATTGCCAAAGCACTAAGCATTTCCCCCATTGAAGATGCCATACTCTGGAGCAGGCTTCAGGCTTTCTTTCTTTCTTTCTTTCTTTCTTTCTTTCTTTCTTTCTTTCTTTAATAGGATCTTCATTTGTTGGGGGGAAGAGGAAAGGCCGAATTTAGATTTTCTTTTCCCCAGTTGGGATTTGTCTTTTGTGGCCTTGGCTACACCTGTCGCAGTTGGGGTCAGTGAAGCCAAACCATTATTTAAGACTCAGCAAATCTA